AATAATAATAATAATAAAACCAAAAGTGGAAAACGTGCTCCAGAAGGAAGCTGGGGGAAACCAAAGGTTTATTTTCCTCCTCATTTCCCCCTATTCCACCCCAAGTCATTACAATCCTAGATAGTGCTCAGGAAATGTTCATGAGTAGGCTGATAAATGTATTCATTCTTTCCACAGGGTTGGTTCTTTATGATCTATTGGACCCTATTCTAGTCTTGGTCACACAGCAGTAAATAAAACAGACAAAAGTCCTTGCTCTGTGGAACTTACATTGATTCATTTGCAATTCTAAGTTAAAAAAAAAAGAAAATGAAGTCCTTGCTCTTTCCTCCAAAGCTACCAATAAATGTTGCCTCTATTTCCCTTACAAAATAAATGCACTTTCTTTCCATTTTCAACCTATGCGTCAATAAATATTTACTGAGCTCACTCCTGGACTGGATAGAGTGAAGTGTAAAGGAAGCATTCTATGCCATGTTGTTCTTGTTGTCTGTGGCCTGATAGAGTGGGGAAGATAGGGCTAATAATGGGAAAGCCATCAGAGAACAATTCAAGGCCAGCCGAGGCCCCGTTATTATTTGTGGGAGGAAAGACAAGAGAGGAGAGATCACCATAGGATGATGTCTCCAGGAGACTTTGACAAGAAAGAGATACTTCCGTGGCCATGAAGGAAGAGGGTATTTGGTTGGGAGGGTGTCTCCTGGTGGTTGGTGACAAACAAATGTCGACTGAATGAATTGGCACATAGGTTGAAGGTACATGTCTTAATATTTGAAATAGTAAATGTAGTTAGATTTGGGCTTCCCAAAGTTGGTTTGCAGAAACCTCTGAGCATGAGTGATTCACCCTGTAGCAGCTCAGACTCCACCAGCTTCCACCAGTAAGAATCATACAGTGAGGTTCTGAGGCCCCTGCGGGATGCTGTGCAGTTACAGCTGCAGCTGATCAAAGGGCAAGCAAAAGAACACCAAAGCACCAAGGTGGCCGTTTGATGTGGCTGGCCGTTAGTGGGGATTGGGCTGAAACTGCATCCTCTGCTCAAATAAGGTCTATTAGCCACTGGTGACTTTTGATCCCCTACTGATCTAGGGGAAGTCAAATTGACAACCCCTTAGTTAAAAGAAGCTGCTTTGCATTATTGATGCTCGGAGGATCTGGTCACTCTGTTCTCTTCCTGCAGTGCATCTCAGAGAAGTGCCTCGAGCTATTTGAGAGAAGAATTCTGTATGAATTATTCCTTAAAAACAGACACACATTTCCCTCTACTGCCTCTGCTTCCCAAGCAGACTTTCAAAACGTAACTTAGCGGGAGACTACCCTGCCTACCTTCAAAAGACAGCTTAGTGGGAGACTAACAGGCAGGGTGGAGGTGAGTGAGGGGAGCTTAGAGGGAAGCCAGCAGGAGCCCGCGGCTGGAAGGAGGCACAGTTCAGCCTCAGGTTCAATTCTGTCCATTTGGGCTTGATCTGTGGCTCAAAGTGGCTTCTCTGGGTTTTGATTTCTTATCTCTAAAATCAGAACAACAATGTCCTCTCCTTCCTGCCGCCTTCATGGCGGGGGTGGTGGGGTGCTATTTTAAGGTATTATGAAACAATCATTTTCATTTCTTTCTTTCTGATTTTATGAGTAGGCAATTGCCTGTGTATGATGTATTTGAAAAATCTATCCTTTACCCTTAGCCCACATATCTTTTCCACTTCTTGCAGAACTGCTGGAAATTCATCAGAGATTCATTATGTTCTCTCTTTGTGCCTCTTCCAAACACATATAAGTGCTCTGATTTTTAATTCATTAACACTTTGGGGGAGTTAAGTTTTTTAGAGGTCTTTCTTTGATGACTTTGTTATCAGAGGGCTCCTGAGAATACAGGAGCAGGAAGGAGGAAAGAAGAAAGGACTGGACCCTGAGAGGGCTAAGGGGCAGAAAGAGATCTTAAAACAAGATTGTCTACCAGCAGAATTTTGCCAGAGGTCAGCCTTGTTCCTGGGGTTCATTTCTGCTTACATGGATGTCACCAGGACTGTGACATCCTGGAGATCCTTACAGGACTATGGGATCAGACAGACTTGGGTATGTGCGGCTCTGCCATTCATTGGCTTGCAACCTTGGAAAGATTAGTTAACTTTCCAGTCTCATTTGCAAAGCAAAGGTAATAATTAGCTTCCAAAAATACCTCTGGTCTGGCAGAGAAATCAGGGCAGGGGGAGACAATTTATCAAAAAGGCTTTCTAGCCTCTCGACCTTACCATTTGATTATGTTAAACAGTCTTAACAATGACCTCTCACGACATGGAAAGGGACTTATTTAATGGCTAATGTGGGCAAAAACTGGAAGCAGGAGGTGATGACATTGACCTCCTGTATCCCTCATTTCTCTAAGACCCTCACAAGAGAGGTGGCTTGAGACAGAGGTGTCCTTAGTGACCCCTCATGGACAAATCGTCACTTGTGTGCTGACAGCTCCTGATTGGGTGGTTTGTGTCACAGGGAACAATAGCGTAGGCAAGATGTGCACGCGCCCACCCCACTCCCTGACCAAGCTCCAGCCCTGTGCCTCATGGGTCCCTCTCTTCCAGGGATCTCATCTCAGAAGTGGGGTCTTCTAACACTGGTTCATTTCTCCTAAGATGCAGCCCAGAATATAGAGGATCTAAGGATTATTCCCTCACTGCCTGAGACTAATGATAAGAATAGCTAACACATATAGTGCAGAATTGTGATATAATTAAAAACTGTGGCAGCTGTTAAACTGTCTGAATCCTGTTTACTGGTGACTTTGGGGTCCAACCTCAGCCTTCTATGGGGCTACAGTAAGGGACCAAACCTGGCTGTGGCGCAAACATTTCCCTTCCCCTCCTGTCCCTGCCGTGTCCTGGCTTTTTCAGCTACTGGTTGGGGCCCTGCCTTATTGCTCTTCTTACCTGGTTTCCCCTTAGTCCCAGTCTTGACATGCCCTGTAGATAATTCCATGTCATTGTGTAAAAAGAGTTTGCTTAAATGCCAACTGACCTGGAATTCCCACTGTTAGTCTCTGAAATTTGGGGGCAGATCACCTGAGGTCAGGAGTTCGAGACTAGCCTGGCCAACATGGTGATGCCCTGTCTCTACTACAACAATTAGCCAGGCCTGATGGCGGGTGCCTGTAATGCCAGCTACTCGGGAGGCTCAGGCAGGAGAATTGCTTGAACTCGGGAGGCAGAGGTTGCAGTGAGCTGAGATCATGCCATTGCACTCCAGCCTGGGCAACAAGAGCAAAACTCTGTCCAAAAAAGAAAGAAAGAAAAAAAAAAAAAAGAAAGAGAAAGAAAAAGAAAAAACCAAGACAAATGGATTAATTTCGAAAACCTTGTGTGTTTCCCAATATCTTGCAGATCTTTTCCACACTCCTGTTCAACGCTCGGAGGAAAAATTGCTGCTCTGTGTGACAGTTTTACTAGTAAATCCTTAAAAGAACATGTTTTCCCTCCTCTGATAGACATGTTAATTTATTTTAATTTTTGTAAGTATGGACCTTCCATAAATTTGCCTATATATATTTTTTTCCCCAAATAAAGACCTCACTATCCTTAAAGTTGTGACGTAGTGAAAAGACATGTCAGCTGTAAAATTGTGGCTAGACTGAAATGGTCTGAAACTTATTTAATATTGACTTTGAAGTCTAGCAGGAATCCCTGCAAACTGTTGGAAGTAAAGAGAGATGCATGGCCTTGTGGGTGAGGGTTCCATTCAAGAGCTGACTTCAAATTAATTCGTTGTTAATATGGATACCTAACTGCTTACTGTATTCTCTGCCTTTCCCCTTCCTCTTCTTATCTGCATCCCTTAAAGATGAGAGAGAGAGAGAATGGTGCTGATGTAAGGAATCTATTTTTCCTGTTTTTTTTTTTTTTTCCTACTGAGCTATGTGTTAGTCAATTTAACACAGTCCTTCTAGTTCTTACCTGCTTGCCTCCTGGTGTGTGTGAATTCTGGACATTTCTTGCCTGTTGACTGATGACTAGGTTTCACTGAAGTATCAGAATACTTATTATTTTCTTCTAGGCCTTTTTACCTTCTTAGGGGAATGGTCTCCTCTGCTTTTAACCAGAGACAAGGATAAGGATTGAATCACTCTGTTTCTGTATTATGAGCTACCACACTGATGCTATTTTAAAATCTAGCTTTTGGGTTTTTGTTTTTTCCCCTCTTCTGCAGGCTAGCCCTAGTTGATAAAGTAAAATACTCTGCTAGGAGTTTAGTGTAGTAGCTTGCAACTTAGAAGCCTGTTAACCTATGTAGGCTAATTCCTTTCTTTGATTGTGATTAAAAGGCATGGAATTTGATTCTTGGAGTTGATAATGATTTTTACTTTCCAGTCAAAGCCCCATTTCTTGTGGATTTAAAGAAACCAGAGTTAAAGATTCCTCACACAGTGAACTTCTACCTGAGAGTTGAACCTGGGGTGATGCTAGGGATCTGGTGAGTGCACGGATGGGACACTGGGTTGCTTGATGGGACAGGTTTTCCTGTTAGGACGCAGAGGAGCAGTGCTGTGTTCCCCGCCCATGGAGAGGGCAGTGCTCCTGGAGGTACCTGGAGGCTGTTTTCTATACCTTCCTCTTCTGTTGATTTGCTTGATTTTGCTTTCTAAGAATTTTGCTTTGGAGTATAGACTTTTAAGTGTTCCCTTGGCTTCTGGCCTCACCCACCCCTTCTGCCTTATTCGATACCACCTTTGCCTTCATGCCTTCAAGTCCAGACACACTGCCCTCCCAGGACACACTCTGCCCTCAAGGCTTCCTTCTATTTCTCAGCTCCCTGCCTTCCCTCTTCTTGCCTTGCTAACTGTCTACTCATCTATTGGATCTTACTTCAGTTGGTAATTTTCAGGAAAGCCTTTCCTCACTGCCCATTTTAGGTATGTGCTGCCATGGCCACCCATGCTTGTCCCTTTTGACAATTATTCCCATTGTCATGAAATAAATGTTTGTGTGATGATTTGGTTAATATTTGTCTTCCTTACAAGACTATAACTTCAGCAGGTGATAGACTTTGTTGGTGGGTTTTCATTGCTTAGCACAATGCTTGGCACATAAAGGACATTCAGTAAATATGTCAGATGAGGTCATGAACATTCTATTGTCTTACAATGCTAACCTTAACATTTCTTCTGTTTAGTTGTAATACTCATTCTTGGCTGCCAAGTTTCCAGTGATCTGTTTTCTATTGCATCTCCCTGAGTTCAAACCTTTGATCATAAAATGTTTAGGAACCAACACGTAACTTCTTCCTATTCTGCAGGGTACAGTTCATCCAATGGTGCTGGAATTTAGAAATCTTTTTATTCTTTGCTTTCGCCCCACTGGTCCTTGGTTTGGTGAGTCAGCTATGTCATCAAGATCAGCTCATCCAGCAGGCAGCAGTGCCTGTATTCTGAGTACAGAGGCCCTGGGGATGATGGCAGACTTTCTGCCCTTAAATGATGGAGAGGACAGAAAATTTGTCACCCTTAGCCAGTTCTCCACATCCCATGGTGACATGTCATATGGCAGTGTTCACATTTGCAGCATTTGTTGGTTTAACAAAGTGGAGAAAATGGAACTCACGCAGACATTTAAAATCACAAGGTTACTTGGTTTCTGGAGCAAAATGGTTTAGTGTTTTAGTTCTTTTCTCTTACATAAACGGGTTTCTTTTTAAATTATTTCCTACTTGTCTCTTCAGCCAAATTCACGGCAGATGGTAAATATCTATTATCTTTTACTTGTTTCCCTTTTTTAAAAAACAATTTCAATGTACCTAAGAACAGCAGTCTTGGAAAATTAGCAGGTGCAGAAGTCAGAAGAACTAAAACAGTAAGTCATTAAAAGGCGTCTCCGTGCATGGGGACATGGGGTAGGGCCGTAGTGGTTCTCATCATAAGACATTTTGTGGTGTTAGATTTTTATTTTTACCATGTGCATATATTACTCAGATAAAAAATTAAAATATATGTATATATATCATAAGGAGAGCTTCAGCCTTTGGCAAGGATAGATAATTCCTCTTTCTACATTTGTTTAAACCTCCCTTGCTCTTCAGGCACACAGTCCCCAGCTGCCGGGAGGAGGATGCCAAAGGGAAGGACCGTTGCTGGTACGAAGCAGCCCTTCGCGATGGGAACCCAATCATTGTTTATCTTCATGGCAGTGCACAACACAGGTCAGCGGCTCTGCTTACGTGTTTTTTTTTCAAGAGATTGAGCGCATTTCAGCCCCACGGGGGAATGAAGAAGGACAGCGCTCTGTTTTTAACTCTGTAGGCATGCCTTCACATATTTCTTTTCCTTTGTTGAAATCTGAGGGTGTTCTGGCAATAAGTTTCGCTTGAAAAGATTATTCTATATATAGAATAATGTGGATCCCTAATTAAGAAGGAGAAAAGAATAACTCTTCCAAAAGTTGGATGTTGATTTGAAAGAAAGTGATGATTCTTTTGCTCCCTAAGAGTGTCTGAAATGATGAATTTAACCCATGAATGACGGGAAAGGGAATAGGCACGCATTATGGGGGAGAAGAAGAGCCATTTCCAGATGAGAGATTTTTCAGAACACTACAGGGGAGAGTCCTTTATTTAACTGTAATGTTACTAGCTGAAAATATGACTCCTTAAGAGAGGTCACATGGAATTCTGACCACAGGTATTGGGGACCGTCTGACTAATTCTAATCTAGAATAGCCATACCTCAGTCCATTCTCTGTAGTCCCAACCTCGCTTTGTAATAAAGAACATCTCCCAGGAGTCTGGCTCCCCTTTGATGTGCTGTCAGAGCCCTTCTGGGCCTGTGTAATTATGCTGGGTGATGATCACCCGCTGTGATTGTGCCCCTTCGGCTTGGGGCAGGTGCGATGTGCCTCGGAAACCCACAGATCTCCACATGGGGAGGAGCACCTGCCTGTGACTCCCTTCCTCCTCGTCTTTTTCTGGCAGGTGACTCGCCTTTCTCAAGACTCGCCTTTTCTCAAGAGACTTTCTTGATGTGTACATTTTAGAGCCACATTTACTGAAATTTCCTGTGAAACCCAGCATTCTTTTTTTTTTTTTTTTTTTTTTTTGAGACAAAGTCTCACTCTGTCACCCAGGCTGGAGTGCAGTGGCACAATCTTGGCTCATAGCAAGCTCCGCTTCCCGGGTTCACACCATTCTCCTACCTCAGCCTCCTAAGTGGCTGAGACTACGCTGGAGGCACCTGCCACCATGCTGGGCTAATTTTTTTGTATTTTTAGTAGAGATGGGGTTTCACTGTGTTAGCCAGGATGGTCTTGATCTCCTGACCTCGTGATCC